TTAATTTTTTTTTGCGATCGTGTGTGTGAACACGTGAAGAGTTTTCTCACACATTTTTAAAAGTCTCGCAAAACCCACGATCGGGACACAAAGGCGAGGTTTCAGAAGTCAGAAAGCAAATGAGATGTGTGTTTGTGCTGAATGTAAAGGTGTAAGTGGGTTTTAGTAAGTGGAGTTCATCGCTTTTGTTTGTAGATACCTGTCTTTGTTTGTGGGGCCGCGTCCATTACTTCCTCTACTGATACTCATCTGTGTTAATGACAGAAAAATAAAAATAAGGGTCCAGGTCATTTAGTGTTGGTGATCGGATTGAAGGATCCACTTTATTATGGAGGCATGTGGCCGTGGATCCGCTGTCCTGCTCAAATGAGATCCAGGAGGAGAAGCGCAGCTCTTTATGCGTGTCCCCTCAGATCAGGCCCCCTCTGCAGGGCCACATGGTCGAACGCACAAGAACAAGCTCTGGCCCCCCGGGGGTCATGACCCGGGGGGCCCCCGATGGAGGGGGGCCTGCACAGAGGGACAGGGAGCAGTAGTGGAAAGAGACATTTACTCCAAACACAACGAGGATTTCAGATTTGAAAGTGCTCTATAAATAAAGTAATTATAATTACATCTCTAATTCTTTTCACAGGTGGTAAATATTGTACTATTTGTCTCACTATCTTTATATCTGATAACTTTATTGTTTACCATTTAATAGAATATAAAAAGGCCATTCTGCGTAACAATAACTTGTACCTACACAGGTCAAATAATCCAGAGTAAATTTACACTCTGCTACTATCACTTCGAGATCAAGTTTTTTTTTTCCACCATCGAAGAGGTGGTTATCAAAAATAAATAGTCTGAATGGCAACTGCACAGATATGCTGATTTTAAATAGGCCAACTACCAAAACGAGGTTTGACTTTAATGATTATGATTTAAAAGTTTCACTTCTGAAGCATTGCAGCAAATGCAGTGTAATGTGGTTGACGATGATATATCCAAATAACTGTTGTGGATTATAAACGCACAATATGTGGAATTGTAGAGTAATACAGCATATTTCTACACTGTGGTAGAAATAAAAATGAGTATTCTTCCATCCCTGATGTCAGGTGACAGTAATAAATTAAAGATTTAACAAACTAAACATCAAAAATTATCAAATAATTATGCAATGTTAGAGATTAAACCTCCAGCAGTATTAAAGTAGATGATATTAGCTGCACCTCAACCAGATACAACAGTAAAATGACACTTGCACAGTTCTGCATCAGTAATAATAGTACCAATATTATCTCTATCACATGAGAAATATAGACTAAGATTAAAGTCTGAATGATACATGTATATGACCATGATAGACAGTACTATGAGGTAGAAGTATACAGAGCTTTATTGAGCATCGCACTCATTCATGTACAGGTAATGTTGAATTTTTGTACAACTCTTGTCAGTAGTGCAACTCGTGCAAAAAAAGGAGGAAAAAAAAAACAACTATTCAAGTGTTTCAACTTCAGAGGATCCAAAGGGCCTTGACATTTTTCAGCATCCAAAAACAATGTTAGCACATCATTAGCCCATGTACAGAACACCAAAAGACAAAATAAAAACATGACTTGTTTGCTTGGATATATATTTATGTATAGGTGGACTCTCACGTTATAGGGAGCAGAGCTTATGTTTTCATTGGAGGTCTCTGCCAATACTGTCCAACAGTTGAGATATGCTGCACCAAGAAATTCAATTTGGATCATTTTACAAATTGTACAAAATGCACACTGGTATGATACAAAGACCTCTTCCTTCCTTCTTCATTTTTCAAAGAAACAAAGGAGAAAATACACACTTAATTTAAGAGTAACTAACCCACAGGTAAAAGATGTGTCCGAGCCGCTATGGTCCGAGCATACTGTGACAGAAAACCTTTTATGAGGACAGCTCACGTATCCAGACTTTGGTCTGTCCCTTCCAGTGCAGATTGAATAGAATGCAACATAGGAATGAGGAGGCAAAGATGTGCACTATTGAAGAGAAGCAATCATTGATTTTAATTAGGACTGGGTCTAAAAAAGCAGCAGCAGCATTAGGGGGCTTTTTGGAACTTGTAGTGTGAAGAGAACGAGTTGTAAATCCAGCTGAAGACAGAGCCACACAGTAACATTACTGAGATGAGGTGTAGAGGGATCCTTTGAGTTATAGCCATGCATTTCAGATACACTGTTAAATCTAAGATTTTCTTTGTTTTCTTTTTCTTTTTTGAGGGTCTTTGTATGAGTTTAACCCCTGAGAGGATTTCCATTTAAAATAATAAATAAAGCAAAGGTAGAAGAAGAAAACACACCTCTGAACAGAGCACAGTGACAGCTCTGGAACCCGTTTGAAAATCCAAAAGTGGTGGGTCTTTGTCAAGGACATGCATTTCACATTTGGCAGAATTTCTTGGCTGTTGCACAGTATCTGTTTCTCATTGGAATTCCAGCTTGTCCAGCCACATATCACCAACACGAGACCAGAAACAAGTTGACTGAGGCAAAGTCAAGGTGAAGACCAAAGGTGTTTTTTTTTAAAACAACCTAGAACACTGAAAGTTTTAATGTATTCAGATAAGAAAGCATAAATCTTAACTTCCTCCTTAAAAGCAAATAGGTCACTCTTTTAACAATTATAAGCAGTATATAAACATCAACAACACAACTCCTCCTATGGATACCCATAAGTGGATACTTGTGTTTACCCAAATAATAAAGGACAGTTGTAATAATATAAATGGTGTCTTCATAGGAGAAGTAATATTAAATGTTTGACATTGATGTTAAAAACACCCTTTATCTGCTCATAACGACATTATAGTGTGATTACATTTGAATTTGTGTTTGCACACTGGTTATAATGCTAAACGAGAGATTCATTCTTGTAAAGATGAATACACTATGCTGCTGTCTGAAAAGATGGGACTGCTATGTTGACAACACATTCAACTCAACCCTCAGGTGTTTCAAAAACATTATTTGGGGGAAATATGTTCTCCTATGTTCCGGCACTATAAATAGAAATAAATGAACAGCTGACACTAAAACAAATCTTTCCTTGTTAGTGCTTTAAAAGGTGCCTGACTGTTTGTACTGACACAATGCACGTCTGACAAACTCCTGGCTGTTACAGACGAAGAGGAACAAAGTTATGAAAATGGAAGAGAAGGAACTAAGGAATTTTTTTTATCAGAAATCCAACAAAAATATATACAGCAAAACAAACTAGTTTTTGACATTTTGGTCTTTGTCTCGTGAGCAAATACAACAGCTTCAGAGCATCAGTAAGATGGAACACATCAGGTTTTTAAGCAGTTAACTAGACTAAATGTCTAAACCACTTCTACTTCAAAAGAACCAAAACCTTATCTACATTAGTAATGAATAATGTCTGCAGAATGATGAACCAACAGTTCTCATCATACATTACTATAGCATAGTGGTTTAGCATCAAATGCCATGTTTTATGAAGACGCAAAGTTGTCAGACATAGTGGCCTTTGTCTCGTCCACCTTTGGTCTCGACCGAGAAAGAAATCTGTTGCTTCATACCAGGTAATCTGGACCAAACAGCTTAAAGCATGTGTGAGGAGTGAATAACAGCCACAGGCCAACATGCCCTCTAGGTTTAAACTCTGTCTGGATCAATATATCACAAATCTTTTCACTCTGAATGTCAGAGGACAATACATCACCTGTTAAATCTCTGGGTGAAAACAAGAGTCTCTGGAGATTAAAAGAAAAGAAATGAAACCAAAAGAACCCTGAAATCTTTTCTCTGTACAACCCCTTCTAACATCTGAGAATCACCACAGCTCTGTGCGACACCTCTGACCCTCAGAGAAATTGGGAAAGTGAGGGAGGGGGGTGTGAGGGTGCAGAACAAGGAACAGCGGTCCTGGAGCCTGCAGTGCAGAGACAGACATTAACGGAGCCAGATCCCATCACAGTGGGATGTGGACTCGAGGGGTGGAGATATGATTGACTCCCATAAAGACGTGTGGTCCACCCCAAACTATGTGTTGGGTGCGTGACTCAGACTCTGAGGATGGAGCTGCTGCCTCTTCTGCTGCTCCTGCACGGCGAGCTGCTGGCACTGGTCCGATGTCGACAGCTTGTTTATTAATGGAGACACACAGTTTGCTGGAATAATCAGTCCTGGAAATGAAACACAGGGTAAAGAATTAACTATGAGCCTACGTATAGAATGTAGCTAATATGGAAGGGACGGTTCCACATTTCGATTTATAGTCAGTTTCGTTTTCTGGCTGAGAGTTTGATGAGAAGATTATCACAAGCCTAATGTCTGTGCAGCAAATATCACGCCGGCAATTGCAAAGACTAGTAGTCTGAGCCCTGGCCAAGAAACAGTCTGCCTCACGACACACCTCAAAACCGTCGTTTTCCCACAGAATAAACACACGGCCGTTATGCTGAGCTAAGCTAATTGACTGCTGGCTGTAACTTCAGATGCGATTGTTGTATCGATCTTCAGTTGGAACAAATTGCCACTTAAGTTTGAGGAGAGATTCACTTATTTATGTGACCTTATGAGAAGAGAATGTAAGACACAAGCACAATAACAAAAGGTCAAACTACAGCATACGACAGTGGAAGAATCCCAAAGTCTACGTGGCATCTTAAGGAAAGAAAAAAAACCAAACCACAATCGGTCCTGCCCTGCAGTAAACAACAGTTTCTCGTGATGTCATTAATTACGTTGAAGCAACCTGGATTTGAAGGAAGAAACAGACTGAATGACCAATGAAAGGTTATTCATCAAGTTTTTGTTAAAATGCACACTTGCTGTTGCAGAGATGATGAGCATCTTAACCAGTGTAGTTCAACATAAAAAGAATTAAACAGCCTCCTGCAGCACAATCCACTGTTACAACTCTCACAATTCATTTAGAGTTGTATATCATCTCCTCACAGCCTTCAGACAGATATAAAAATACTTAACAACTGACTCACCATGACATTAAAAGTCTTTTTAAGACCTTATATACAAGACCTGCAGTAACCTGAACATATTTCCTAGAATAGTGAGCAATGGAGGGAGCTCACTGTGTTTCACAGAAGACAAAGAGGAATGGGTTAACATAAACATTCTCAGTAAGAAAGCAAACACGCATCCTTCTCTAAATATGAACCAGTTCCTGTAAAGCAGAAGTACTTCAACTTACCAACTATCCTCTGTCCATCTTCTGTTCTGAGGCGAACAATCTGCACCTTTACATTGGTTCCACTGACGGGGGTTAGTACTTCCTCCAGCTCGTTCCACACACTGAGCACAGAGCCGCAGAGAACGTAGTACGTCCTACACCGAAGACCAACTTCACACTGTAGACCCACTGACGCTTTCTTACAGTTACCCCGCCTGTGGACAGAATAAAACACAGACAGATTTACAACCA